ACTGTATAGCCAATACATCCTTAAAATACTTTCGTGCATTATATTTGTAAAATAATCGAGATCGTTAATACTCGCATGAAAATTGCAATTATTTTTGCATTTTTGCAAGGAACAACAGTCTCTGCATATATTTACGTATGCATAAGATAGATATGAACATAATTACTGCGCTCTCCTTCTAAGTTTGACTCTTATCTGTAACTCTTATAAAAAGCGGATCCCCCTGCATGGAAATTGATGAAAGCACGGGATATTGCGTGATCGGTGTCGAGTTTCATTAGAAAGAACGGATCAGAAGGCGGGGTAAGGGAAGCTAAGGAAGCGCGCATTAATTGCCCGGAGAAATGGTGCAACTTTGCTGCATCTTAATTACATAGGCACGCATTTCGCGCGAGGGGATCTCACGAAATTACGTTCTCTCGCAACGGTTTTTCTGCGAACCCCGAGGAACATTTAACCGATTATACAAACGGTTCATGTTTAAATTTCAGTACATATTTCATGTTTAAGTTTCTAAATATCTCTCTTGGTTTTCGTTTTTTCTAATGCGTCTCGTCGATGGAAAACGATCTTTAGTATACATTTCATGTTTGAGAAATTTCTATCCAGATTTCGTGTCCTTCTCGCAGTTTACGTTTCTTCTATGATGTTCTGCTGATAGGAAACGATGCGCGGACACGTGTACGCGTGTCGCAATCCACGCGAAATCGTTAGATCAGTTTCGTGTTACGAATGTGTCGTTACCAGCTCGTGTATGTGGCACAAGGATGAGTTGCTCGCTGGATCGTGTCGTTTCATCTCCCCGATAGATTCCAAATAAATGAAACAGTGGGCCGAGTGGACGGTATAAAAAATTTAATCCTCGAAACTTTTCCTCTGCAGTTATACATATTTAGAAAAGGATGTAAGTCCTAAACGGAGACGAGTTATCAGAATTTGATACAGACGATCTGCGACGCGTTGGGCAATGCGTGTCACGCACGGTGTCCCCGAGTCCCCGCGCGAGGTGAGAACTTTCGTATCCGTGAATGTGAACCTTGAGGAATAGGAAGAAGCCAGGAAGCGAGCGGGAGGCGGTTAGAACCGATCGCAGGAAATTTCCAATTAAATCCGGGGCATAGGTATCCTGGAAAACAAACATAATATAATTCCTCATGGTTTTCGTTGGAAATAAACGCGATTTCTCTCTCGTGTTCATGTCGTACAACTCGGATGATCGACCTAGACGAGTATTGACCATGATTCGCGCAGTTCTCGCTAAACCCGGGTTCAAGGGGTATAACTGTGATATAAATAAATTCCCTCGTGGAAGATTAGTTTACCGTTGCCGGTACCGTAATTGTCAGTAAAGTAACTAACACGTACACGATCGCGTAACGCGCGTTATTGTCAGCGGTATTTTTTCTCCTCCGCGGCATCTTCCTGCCACCTGGTACCAGGAAACACACGCGGTTTGCCCCGGTGTCTGTGCCTCCGTTGCGCAATGGGAAGGATAGCCCCGCCACGTCGCGCCGTGCCGTCGGCCCCCCGTGGCTGATTAGGATCTCGGGACAGGGAGAAATACGAGGACGACTATTTACCCGCCAGCAATCGTTCGTTTAGGCTGGGCCTGTTCCGCTTTTGCACAAGTTTACCGGTGAATCTGACGACAGTCCAACAGTTAACTTTATTTCACTTGCCCAGCGATGCCACGCTCGAGAGTTCTTAAAACTTCAATCACAGATTCGATTAGATATTTTTGTCGAATGCAAACCCTGTCGGTAACAGTGAATTTTAGATCAAATTAACACTAGAAAGACTGAAACTTAGTATATACCTATATTGCCTAAAAGCAGTAAAAATGACTGCAT